CCCGCAGCGCGCCTCACCCCCCCGCCCCACGCGATCGGGTCTCCTTGCTGTCGGTCTCGCCGCGCGCCCCTCCCCCGCCCCTTTTTTCTGCTCCCCTTCCTTTCCTTCCTTGTCCCTGTCCCTCCTCCGGGCTGTCCTCCTCGGTCTTTTGCCGGCCCTTTTTCCCTCCCTGCCCCCCTTTCGGCTCCGCTCTTTTGTGTCTTTGGCTTGGTTTCTCCCTCTCCCCTCCGGCCCTTGTTTCCCTTGTCCGCCCCGCCCTCCTTCCGTTCTCCCCTCCTCCTCCTTTCCCCTTTTCCTTTCCTGCGCTTGGCGCCTTTTTCCCCTCGCTCTGGCTTCGTGCTTCCGCCGCTCCTCGTCGTCCCCTCTCTTTGTCCCCGTCGGCTCTGCTCCTTCTCCTTTCTCCGCCCGCGTGTTTTGTCCCCCCCTCCTTTCGTGCCGCCCCGCTTGCTTCGGCCCCCTGCCGTGTCTCCTCCCCCGCTCGTGGCGCTTGTTTCCCCCCGTCTCGCGCTTTCTTCCGGTGGTCCCCCTTTTCGCGGTCCTTGTTGCTCGCCCCCCCCGGCGGTTGTTCCCCTCTCCTTCTTCTTCCCGCCGTCCCTTCCGGCCGGCGCTTTTGCCCTCCCTTTGCTCGCCTTTGCCCTTTTTGTCCGCTGCCCCCGCTCCGCCTCTTCGTCTCGCTTCCCCTCTGGCCCCGGGGGCGCCGGTCTCCTCCCCCTCCCTCCCTTCCTCCTGCCCCTCTCCTTTCGCCCCCGGCGCGCTTTGTTCCTCCCCTGCGTCCCTCTTCCCTCCTTTTGTTTCTCCCCCCCCTTTCGTTCCCCTGCCGTTTTGCTGTGCTGGTCTGGTCCTCGTTCCCCTCCTTCCTTTCGTTCCCCTTGCTGCCGTTCTTCTTGCCTCGCTCTTCCCCGTCCGGCTCCCTCCCGCTTCCTCTCCCGCTTTCGGCTCTCTTTGGGCTCCGCCGCCTGCCCTCCTCCTTTCGTGTCCTGCCGCTCTTGTTCTCCCCCCTTCTTGCCCTCTCCCCTCCCTTGCTCTGGTGGCTGCTCTTTCCCCCCTCTCCGCTCTGGCTCCCCGCCCTCTTGCGCCGGCTGCGTCTCCCTCTCTGGCTCTCCGGCCGGTCTCTGTCGCTCCTTGGTTCCGCTGGTGCGTTGCTCGCCGGCTTGCTCGGTTGCTTTCCCTTTGCTTGTTGCGCTGCCCTTCTCGGGTTCTGGTCCTTTCGGCTGCTCCTTCCTGTCGCCGCCCGTCCGTCTTCTTCGTCTGCGCTGTCTTCCTCTCCGGCTTTCTGCGGCCTTTTGCGCTGGGCTCGCCGGTCTCTTGTCTCCCGCCGGGCTTTTTCTCCGCTTGTTCCTCCCCTTTGCCGTGGCTGGCTTCTTCGCTCCCCCTTGTTCGCTTGTTCCGCCCTCTGCCTGCTTTGCTTCTGGCTGCCTCTCCCCTGCCTCCTCCTTCGTCCGCTCTTTCGTCCCCTGCTTTCCGCTCGCTTTTGCCCTTGTTGTGCCTCCCCCCCTGCCCCCCCCCCCTGCCCTCTCCCCTCTTTGGCGTCTTCCCTTTCCCTCGCTCCTCTGGTGTTTTGTTGTGCGCCTTGTTGCTTCCGGCTCTGTTCTGTGTCTCGCCTGCGGTGTTTCTGGCTTCCGCCCCCCTCTCTTTGGTCGCCCTGCGTGTGCGCTCCTTGTTCGTGCTGCTTCTTTTCGCGTTCTCTTTCTCCTTTCGGCTCCTCCGTTTTGCTGCGGCGTTCGTGCTGCCGCGCGTTGCTGCCCTCTTCCCTTTTGCGCCCCGCCCTCCTTTCTCCCTTTGTTGCCCCCTTCGGTTCCTTGCTCCGCTCTGCTTCTTGTTCTTTTGCCTTCCTTTCTCTGTTTGCCGTTGCTTCCCCGCTTTGGCCGCGCCGTTTCTGTTTCCTTCTTCTTTTTCCCGCCCCGCCCCCCTGTCTCTCTTGCCCCGTCCTCTCCTCCCCCCGGGTGTCCTTTCTTCCGCTTCTCCTTGCTGGCTCTCTTGGTCCCCCCGCTCCCTGTGCCGCCGGCTTCGCGCTCGCGCCTTTGTGTCTCCCTCTTTTGCCTTGCCGGCCGCTCTTCCGCTGTTTTCCCTTTTGGCCGGCCTCCCCTCCCCTCTCTTTCGTGTCCGCTGTTTCGGGTCCGCCTCTTCCCCGCTTCCTTTTTGGCCCGCTTCTTTCTTGTCTTCCTGTTCCCGTGGCTTCGCTTGTTGTGCCCTTCTTGCTTGCGCTCTGCCTTGCTCTTCGCTCCCCGCCCCCTGTTCGTCTTCGCCGCCTTTCCTGCCCTTCCCTCCCTGTTCTTCTTTCGTTGGCCTGTCCGTGCTGTCCTGCCCTCCTTCGTGTTTCTGCTTTTGCCCTCTTCTTTCCGGCCTTCTCCTTTGTCTCCTTTGTCGCCGCCCTGCCTTGTGCTTCGCCGGTTGCCTTTCCGTCCTTCTCCCTCGCGCCCTCTTGTCTGCTTCTTCCTTTCTTGCTGCTCTCTCCTTTTCCTCGCGTTTGGCCCCTTGTTTCTCCTCCCCCGCTGCCTTTGGGTCCCTTTCTTTCTTTGCCCTTGCTCCCCTTGTTTTGTCCCCCGTCCTCTGTCTTGCGCCTCCCCTGTCTCCCTCCCCTCTGCCCTGTTTCTCCTGCCTCCCCGCTCCTGTCTTTTTCGGTCCCCCTTCGTTTCGGGTCCTTGGGGGTTCGTCGTCCCTTTTGGCCCCCCCTTCCCCTCGCGTGCCCCTGCCTCCTCCTTGGTCCTCTGTCTCCGTTGGCGGTGCGCTCCTCGCCCTCCCCCTGGCCCCGCTTTTGTCCTTCTCCTTCCTTTGTTGCTCTTTTGGTGGCCGCTTTTCCTCCTGCCCCCGCTCCTTGGTTTGTTTCCGTCGCTGTGTTCTCTTCCGCGCTTTCCTCGCGCGGCGTTCCGGGTCCTCCCCCCCCTCTTCTTCTGCCGGCCCCGTCCTTCCCTTCCCCTCCCCCGCTCTTCTGCGGCTCCTTTCCGGTTGTTCCGTTCTTTGCGCTTTCCTGCGCCGCCCTCTTTGGCCGCTCTTGCCTCTGGTTCCCCTTTGTCTTTTTCTCGGCTCGCGCCTTCCCGTTCGGCTGCCTCCCTTTTTGGTGTGGCCTTTTTCCCCTGCCCTTTGGTCCCTTCCTTTTGCCCCCTCTTTGTCTCGGCTTGCCTTTCCTCGGTTTTCTCTTTCCTGTTTCCCCCCTTCGTTGTCCCGCCTTTCCTTTCGGTTGGCTTGTTGCTTGTGGTGCTGTGCCCTTGTTCTGTCCCCTCCTCGGCTCGGGCCGCTGGGTTGGTCCTTGCCCCCCTCTGGTTGCCCGCCTCTCCGTGTGCGTCTGCCTTCGTGCTTTGTTCGTTTCGCCTTGTGCCGCGGCGCTGGCGTTCCCCCCCTTCCGGTTTTCTCTCCGGGCCGTCTGGCTTCGTTTCCCCTTCTGTCCCTTCCGTTGGCTGCCTTGTTCCCCTTGTCCCCCCTTCCCGCCCTTCTTGCTCTCTCTTTTCTTTTGCTGTGCCCTGCTCCTTCCGCGCGCGCCCTTTTTCTCGCGCTGCTCCTTCGCCCTGCTCCGCCTTTTGTTCTCCCTGCGCCCTTGCTCTCCTTCCTTCTGGCTCGTCCTGCGCCGCGCGTTCTCCTCTTTTCGCTTGGCGTCCGTGCTCTTTCTCCCTTCCCCTCCTCCTCCTTTCCGTGCCCGCTTCCCTGGCGGTTTGCCTCCCTCCCGCCCTTGCTTCGGCTGCCCGCCCGCCGCCGCGTGCGCGTTTCCCTCTTCTTCCTCTGCCCTGCGGCCTCGTTCCTCTGCTTCTTGGCTGTCGCGGCCTCGTCGTCCTTTCTCCTCCTCCCTGCTTTCGTCTTCTGCGCTTGCGCTTGCGGTCCTCCTTTCGGGTCTCGCTTTTTCCGTGTTTTCGGCCCCCCCCCTTGCTTTTCTTCTTCCCTCCCTCTGGCGTTTGCTGCTTCTGGTTTCTCCCTTTTCTTGTGCTTTTCTCCCGCTTCCCTTGCGGCGCTTGTGCTCTCGTTGCCCTCTTGCTCTTTGCTCCCCCTTGGCTCGGGCCGTTTCGCTTTGCCGTGCCCTGGCTTTCGGCCGTTGTCGCCCCCCGCTGTGCCTCCGTGGTTTCGGTCTTTGCCGCCTGCGGGCCGCTTTCCTGCCTCTTTCGGTGGCTTGCCCGTTGTGGCTCTTGCCCGTTGTTCTTTCTCCTGCCTCTTTTCCTCTTCCTGCCCCTCGGGCCTCTTGTTCGTCCGTTCCCCCTCCCCCGCGTTCGCTTTCGCCCTGTTCGGGGTTGCCGCCGCCTGCTTTGCTCCGCGGGCCCTCTTTCTCGTTTCTGGTTCCTCCGCCTCTTTCGGTTCCTGTTCCCCCTCCTCTGCTTTGCGCTCCCTGCCGCTTTTGGCTGTGGGTGTTGTTTTCCTGTCCCGCTTCTCTCTCCTCGCGCTGCCCTTCCTCTCCCCTGCCTTCGGCCCTCCCCGCCGCCTTTTTCGCTTCCTCTCCTTTTCGGTGCGTTCTTTTCCCCGGTCTGCTCCGTCTCCCCTTCGTCTTGTGCCTCTTCGCTCCCTCTCCCTGCTCGTCTCGTTTGGTTGCCTCTTCCCGTCTTCGCCCTTCTTCCTGGCTCTTGTCCGTTTGTTGTCCTTTTCTTGTTCCTCTCCTTCTCCCCCGTCCCTTCGCCCTTTCCCTCCTTCCCTCGCCTTTTTCCCTTTTCTGCCTCTGGGGCCGCGTGCCTCCTCTCGCGCGTTGTCCCGCCTGTTCCTTGCCCCCTTGTCCCGGTTTGCTCTTGTTCTTTCTTCCGCGTTCTCCTGCTCTTTCGGCTTCGGTCTCCTTTGTGGCGCCTCTGGTCCTTGCGCCGCCGCCTGTGCCTTTGCCCTCCTCCCTGTGCTCGGTCCCGTCGTTCTGCCGTCCCCCCTTTCCTCCTGCCTCGCGCCCCGCCGCGCCTGCCTTCTTCCTTTCCCGTCCTCCCCCTTGGCCCGCCTCCCCGCCCGCTGTCTCGCGCGCTTTTGTGCCTGTTCTTTTTCCCTTTTCCCCCCCTCGTGCCCCGCCGCCGCTCCCCCCCCCCCTCCCCGGTGGCTCTCCCCGGCCGTCCCTGCCCCCGCCTTCCCCGTTCCCGGTCTTCGGCTCTGCTCCCCCTTGTTGGTCCCGCTCGCTTGTGTGGTGCGTCTCGCGGGGGGGGGGGGTGCCTCGCCTCTCGTTTTTCTTTCGCTTTTTCCCCGCCCCCCCTGCCCCCCTTTTGCGTCCGCTCCGCCCCGCGGCCCGGTTCTCCGCGCGGGTTGCCCGCGTTTGCTCCCCGCTCCGCTGCGTGCTGCCCCGCTGCTCTGCCCGCCGTCCCTCCCGCCGTCCGTCCCGCGCCGCGCGCGCCGCGCTTTTCTCGTGGTTCGGCCCCCCTTTGCCTCCTTCCCCTCTTCTTCCCCCCCTGCTGGCCGGCTTGCCCTCTCCCTCTTTCGTCCCCTTCCCCCCCGCCTTCCTTGCTCCCTCCGCCGGCCCGCCTTTGCCGGTTTTTCCCCTCCGCGCGTTTCCTCCGCCTCTCTCCCCTTCTTCTTCTCCGTTGCGGTTGGTGCGCCCGTCTTTCTTGCTTCCTCCCCCTGTGCCGTCTTGTCTGGTGTGGGCTGCTTGCTTCCCGCGTGCCCGCCTTCTTCCCCGCTGTCGGGCCGTGCTGGCTGCTCTCCTTCCCCTGCCTTCCCCCCTTCCTCGCTGGTTCGCCCCCGCTTTGCGCTTTGTTCCCTTTTCCCGCCTTTTTGCCCGCGCGTGCGTCGCGTGCTCCTGCCCCCGCCCCTTCTTCGTTGCTGCCGGTTGGTTTCTCTCGGTGCTGCCCTTCCTCCGTTGGCGGGCGCTGCTTTTTTCCCCCTTTTCTCTGTTGGCCCCGGCCCCTGGCGCCTCCTGCCTTTCCTGCTCCCTTCCTGGGTTTGTCCTCTGTCGCCGTTGCCGGTCTGGCGGCTCTGCTGCCTTTTGTCTTTTCGCTCCCGCGCTCGTCCCCTTCCTTCCCTGCTCTTTGGCGTCGCGTGTCCCCTGCGTTGCGGTCCTTCTTGTCCTCGGCTGTTGTCCCCTCCGCCCGGTCGCCCCTTCTTCTTGTTGCTGCGCCGCCGCCTCCTTGTTGGCTCGTCTTGCCCGCCCTGTCTTCTTCCTGCCCCCTCCTTCTTTCGTTGCTGTGGCGTCTTCTTTCGTCTTGCTCCGCCTCTCTTCTCTTCCTCCCTCTTTTCGTGTGTTTGTTCTCGCTTCCCCCGCCTTCCCTCTGCGTTCTGGCCCCTTTCGTCTCGCCCGCCCGTCGCGCTCCCCCCCGTCGCGCGGGGGTCTCCTTTCACCTTCCTTGGTCTCCTCCCCCCCTCCTCCCACCGGTTCCTCCCCCCCTTATCCCCTTCTGCGCCTCTGTTTCCGTCACCTCCCGGTCATCCCCCTGCTTTTTTTTCCCCCCGTCCACCCAGCCCCCCGTCTTTTTGCCCCCCGTGCTGCCCCCTAGGTTGGCCCCCCCTCCTCGCCTGTCTTGGGCCTGCCCTGGCCCACCTTGCATTCTCCGCGCTCACGCCCTCTCTGTACGTCCACTTCCGGGCGTACCCTTTGCCCTTTTTTGCCTCCACTACGTTTCTTTTTACCCCTCACGACTTGTTTCCTTCGTCATGGCCCCCCTGACTTCTTTTTCCCTTTTTCCCTTTTGTCCGTTTTGATCCTTGCTGGGTTTCCTTGCCCTTTTTTTAGCTCCTTCGACTGCCGCAACAAATATGAATAATACACAAAACATATAGAACTCACGCCTCCCTTGCCACTTATGGGCCACCCCTCGCGGCACCCCCTGTTGCCTTCTGCTCCTCTCACAACCTAGCCTCCCCTCTCCCGTATCGCAACCCTTCCGTCTTGCCTGCCCCTACAACTGATCCTTCCCCCTCCTAACTCTAATTTCATCAACCCCTTACACCATTGGCCCTAATATCTACTTTCTCTTCCTCCTAGCCTACTATCCCCCTTCGCAATAAAATCCCCACATCCTGATGTGAGCACCCACCATCGTCTGACTCCCACGCAAATCCCCGTTCTCAAATGGAAAAGTCCATATTTTGGCAAAAATATGCACATCTTCCACCCTACTAACACTCAAATCCGCCACATCCTGTTGCCCCCCTTCGTTCAACGCGCACCCGCTAACGCCTCCCTCACACCTTAAACAACGGCGCACTCCCTCTTCCGGCCTTAAATGGGGATTTGTCTCTTTCCGTCTATATCTTTGCCCCATTTTACCACCCTACGCCCATTCCTACTCATCCTACCTCCTAAAACAAAGCTTAGTCCCCCGAAAACCCCCTCGCACCAAAAACACTTGTAGGGCCCCTCTCCTGCGAAAGCCCAACCGATCTCAAAAAAAAATGGCATCATGTATGTCTTAAGAAAAAAAAAATAACCTCATGTATGAGGGGCAACACAACCACAGTCTCAAACCTTTCGATACTTTATCCGCGAACGACACCCACTTACTAGGAAACCAGCTATTGCGTCACAACTGATCGCATATCTGCGTCTCCAAAAAAACCTGCCAGCTACACCACACTTCCCGTTATTCCCATGCCTAAATCCCCTCCCGTCCTTGTATCCCCCCGAAGTCAGCGCCACGCTCATAGCCACAAACTCTTACCAGAGCATACTCCCTTTCAGCATTTCTACCATTATCCAATCACCCTCCTCTCAAAGTGCTTCATTACTGCTGCGCTAATCACGCAGGAGATTGACAAAAAACCTCACTTGCCATACTTTCTCTCACGCTTGTAACTTTCCCAACCTACACCACCCATTCTAACCATGATCACTCTGTACTCCGACCCACCACTTATCTATCTCGCTACCCCTCCCGGATCAAGTGGACAAGTCCCACCCCACCTCTCACCTCAGTTTGGCTTTGCCCTCCTAGAGGACATAACGCACAACACCGTCCCTACCCCCTGGTCCATACTCACTCAAAACACCACCAAAAAAAAAAAAATCGGTCTCCTCGCCTCCCCTTCCCCCTCTTCTCGTCTCCTCCCCGCTACTGGCGGCTCTTTTGCCTCTTCTTATCCGCTCTTTCTTCTCGCCTCCCCTCGGTGTTCTCCGTCCTTTCCTGGTCCGCCACCGGTCCGTCCTCTCCCCTCCTGCCCTTATCTGAATTTTTCTCGTCGTGCTCGCCCTCGCCGGGTGCTGCGTGCCCCGTCCTGTGCGGGTCCCTCTCCCCTCTTCCTTGGCCCCTCTTTCCCCTCTCTTACCCCCCTCCCGGCCCCCTCCCGTGTTTGGTAGCTTACCCTTTCTTCCTGCCCTCCGGCCGTCTTCCCCTTTTCGCCCCCTCCTTGGCTCGCCGTTCCTGTTCTCTCTCCTGTCCTCCCCTCCATCCCCCCCCCCTCCGTATCCCCCGTGCTTGCCTTTCTCCTCCTTTATAGGTTGCCCGCCCTGTCACGCCCCTGTTCCTTTTCCCTTTGCTCCTTTCCCTCCTGTCCCCCCTTCTCGCTCTCCCGTTCTGTTCCTCCCGCCCCCGGTACCCTCGGCCCCCTGTCCTCCCCCTGCTTGTTCCTCCCCTCTGGCTTCCCCTCTGAGTCCTGTCTCGGCTATTCTCCTCTCGCTCTTTTTCTCGTCGCCTTTATTCGCTTGTTTACTCTCCCCGTCCCCATCCTCTCCTTTGCCTGCCCTGAGCCCGCATCCCCCGTTTCCTCTCCCCCCGGTCCTCTCCTCTTCCTGCTTTTTTCCCTTATCGTCTCGCCCCCTTTGGTGCACGTCCGACGTCTCCCCCTTTTGTGTTTTTCCCCCTTCGTCCTCCCTTCTTCTTCTCTCATCGCTTTGGTGTCCTCGCGGTCTCCTTTCTCCTTTCCTTCTTCCTCTCTTTTCCTCCTCGCCCTGCGCCGTGCGCCTTTCCTTTTTCTTTTTCCGCCTTCCTTTCCCCCCCTCGCCTCTCCCTTTGCTTTGCCTGTCTGGGCTCCTTCGTCCCCACCGCTGCGCGGGCTGTTGCTCCTTTGCCCTTTGCGCGTCCCGCGCGGTCCCCTTTGCGCTTCTTGCCTTGCCCTTTCTTCCCCCCCTTCCGCCCCCCCCGCTGCCCCTCCCTTGCGCCCCCCCCCGTCGGCCTCCCTTCGGTTCCCCCCGTCGTTTCGGCCGCCCTTATCGCCCCCCCTCCTCTCTCGCAGGCCCCTGTTTGGCTCTTCCCCCCCCCCCCCCCCTCCTGCTCTGATCTTTTTTCCTCTCCCTTGCTGTTTTTGTCCCTTTTTTTCTGGCCTCCCCTTCTTTTGTTTCCCTCTTCCGGCTTCTGTTGCTTCTGCTCTCCAGCTTCTCCTCTTCTTCCATCCTGCCTATTGGCTTTTGCCGTCCGCGCTCTCTCCCCTGCTTGTCCCCCTAGCCCTCCGTGCTCCCCCCTGTCCTCTTCTTCCCCTGCCCTTTCATGCTCGTCCTTCCTGCGCTCTTTCCGTCCGCCCGCCCCCGCCCGCCCTCGTGTTTCCTCCTCCCCGCCGCCCGCATGCCGGTCCTTTCTCTTCTGCCGCGGCTTTCTGCTTCTCGCGGGGCCAGCGGCTCTGCCCGCGCGCTCCTGCCCTCTTCGCCGCTATCCCGCTGCTCCTGGCGTCGCTGCCCTCCCGTCCTCCGCCCTTGCCGTTGCTGCTTCTGACTTTCCTGCTCTGGCTTGCCTGTTTGCGTTGCCAGTTGGGCCCCCGTCTCCCCTTGCTCCCCCTCTATCCCCTGCCCCCCCGTGCGGTTCGCCGCCCCCGCCTGCGCCCAGCCTTCTCGCGTATCCTCCCTCCCGCTCTGACTCAGTCTCGCTCCGCTCATCCTCTCGCTCCGCCCCCTCTGTTGCCCGTGGTTGCGTGTGCCCCCCGTCGGTTCTTCTCCGCGCCTGCCTTCCTGTTTGTCCGCCCCCTATCGGCCCCTCTGCCGTTCTCCCTGCCATTGTCTCCGTCTTCCTCCGCCTCCCCTCCCGCCCTCGTTGTTTTGCTCTTTGCTTTCCCCTTTTGCCCCCCGTTTTTTGGGGTGTCGCCTGCCCTTCGTTCTTGTGCTGCCGTGGCTTTGGGCCCCGTGTCTCCCTCGTCTGCCGGTTCCCCCGCTCCTGGGTGTCTCCTTTTGGTCCCCCTGCCCGTGGCCCTGCTCCAGTGGGGGGGGGGGGGGGGGGAGGGAGGGGGGCGGTGGCCCTCTACTTCTCATCACCTCTCTTCCCCTCCCTCTCCGTCTTGTCCCCGTTGGTCCGGTCCCGTTCCCCTGTTCTCCTTCGCCCTCACTTTCCTGCCCTTCCGGCCCTCCTCCTCTTGCCCCCCCCTGCGGCCCCTGTTCCCTTCCCCCCTTGCTGCCGCCCATTCATTCCCTTCCCGCCCCCTCCCCCGCTCGCGCTCTGTCCTCATTCCCGCGTCGTTCTCGTCTCACTCCCCCTGCCCCTTTGTTCTCCTCCGTCCTTCTGTGCTTCCCCACCCTTCCTGGCTCCCCCTCTGTTTCTTCCCGGTCCCCCCGCTCTCTCTTTTCTCCCCCCATGTGCCCCTCCCTCCGCGCCCCTCTTCTGCCTCCCTTCGCCTTTCCTCCTCCCTCTCTGTCATCCCCGTTTTTCCCCCGTGGGCGCCCGTGCCCTTTTCTCCCCCCCTCCACGTCCCACTATGCCTGTGGCCTGTCCTTTCGTTCCGAGGCTCCTCACTCCTCCCTCCGTCCTTCTCTGCTTTCCCTGCCCACCTTTCTTTCTCTTTCCCGACCGCTCCCTGCTGGCTCCTTGGAGTCGCTCTGCTTCCTTCGCCGTCCCCCTCTTATTGTATGGCCAAGGACCGCCTCCCCCTGCTGTTGTCCTCCCCTCCCCCTTTCCTGGCTCCCCTCGCTCCCTCCCTCTCCCGCGACCCGCCTCCCTTTTTCCGCCCTCCCCCTTAGCGCTGTCGCCTCCCCCCCTGACCCGCCCTCGGCTTACCCTGGTGCCGTTGGTGCCCGCGTTTGTTTCACCCTTCTCCCTGCCCCCGCTCCGCCGGCCCCGCCTCCCACTGTTAACCCCCCGTTGCTTTTCGCGCCTCCCCCCCCCGCCCCGCTGCCTCCGCCTCTCCCCCCGCCGTCCCCACCTGTCTGTCTTCTTGCCCCCGTTTCTCTCTTGGTCCCCTTGCGCTCCCCTTCCCCCTTCTTTGCACTCTTCCCGTGGCCCTCCGCCCGCTCCCATTGCTCTCCTTCTCCCGCCTTCTCCCCGCCCCGGCCGCTGTCCGGCCTCGTCCCCTTGCCCCCTCCCCGCGCGGCCCCGCCCCCTGCCGCTCGCCTCCGGCACTCTTCTATCCTGGCTTCTACTTTCCCCCTTCTTCCTTTGGCACCTTGGTTCGCCCGCCTTCTCCTCATTCTCCCCTCAGGCGCTCGCCTCGTGCCCCCTCTCTTCCCCCCCTCGTTTCTCCCCATGTTGCTATCGGTTTCCTTATGCGCTCGTCGCGCGCCGCCTCCCTGGCCTCTCTCCCTCTGGCTCTTCTGCCCTGACCCCCCGCTGCCTCGCCCCTCTCTTTCCTCTCCGGTTCCCTCGCCCGGCCTGCATTCCCTCAGTGCCTCCTTCCCTTCTCCTTTGTTGCCGTCGCCTCTCCTCCCCCTCTCCCCCCACCCCCCCTTTTCCCCCTTCCCTTGTTTTCTGTATCATCCCTGCTCTCCGGGCGTTTCCCCCCCCCTCTGCACGCCCGCCCCCTCCCCTGCTCTCCCCTTGGTGGCGCTTGTTTTCCCCCCATCTGGCCCTTTTGCGCTTAGGGCCCCCCCCTGCTTCCCTTCCCTCCCGCCGCCTCCTTCCCGTTGTGCCTCTCCCCCCACTCTTCTCCTCCCCTATACGGACCTGCCCTTTTCCCCCTGCCCTTGTTGCCCTCCCGATTGACCTGTGCCCCCCCCGCCCCCTCTCTCCGTGCCTTTTCTTTTCCCTCGGCGCCCCTGTCTCCAGTGTCGTCGCTTCCTATCCTTATTGCGTCCTCACTTTCGCCCCGGCGCCATCGCCATGCTCGCTATCTGTTGCCATCCTGCGTCTTTTTTCTCTTCTCGCCGCCCTTTCCGCCGCCCCTTGGCCTTGGCCCTCCTTCGGCCCATCCCCCCGGTCCCCCCCCATCTGGCTGATCGCGCACTCCTTATCTTCTTCCCTGCTTCCATCCTCCTTTGCCTCTTTCCGTTTCTGGCTTTCCGCCGTTTTAGGCATCCTTTTTCGGCTACTCCCTCCGCCACTTGCGCCTCCCTCAGTCTCCTCCCTCGCCTTGCTTGCCTTTTCTCGCAGTCGCCTCGCTCCCCCGTTGCCCTCTCCTCTTCTTAGCGCCTTCG